AATTTATCACATCTGTCCATTGACCATTTCACCAGTGTGTCCTGTCACGTCACTGTGTTTTTTGATTTGAACTCTGTGCCTGACTATAGGCCGTGCGCTTTTCATGTGTAGCAGTGATTACTTTACCTCGATTCCTGGTTTAATGTAAGTTTTGTTATCTTGATCTCTTTGCCTTTTCCCATATCAAGGGTCTTTGTTTTTCCCATTTCTTTGGTTTAATAAAAATCAGCACTTTTTGCTCAGTTTCCCGCGTTTGAGTTCTCAATTGCCTCCATCGTAACAGGTTCAAACTGATAAGGCAGCGTCAAGGTGTTGTTTACATTTAATGCACTTTTTACAGAATATATGAGTGGTAACAGTTTGTTTTTAGATGTTCCATTTCAGAGATGCATGAGACATGCAGGATCCAATAAAAGCGAACAACCGACCATCGAATTTTGTTTGAACGAGTCATAAAACGGTTCATTAGTGAGTTGTTTAAAAATCCAGAAAAAAATAAATGTTTGTGAAAAGATAATTACCGGTAAAGAGTTTGTTTTTTTTTATACTTTGGACGTGTTTCAAACAAAATGATGATATAGCCTCTTTAAATAAATGACAAGTCAATTCCTTGTTTACATTCTCTAAAGGAAAAATGACTACAGAGTGTATTTTTGTTTAACCATGACGGTTAGCATTTCATTATGTTTTTATTCTGTGATCAAAATACAAAACAAAAGGAGCAGAATTACTTTTTATAGGACAAATCATAAAAGCATTGAGCTGTTGAATTTTTAAGGTAGTAATATAGTCTTTCTCGAAGAGAGAGTTACAACCCATAAAGGAATGCATAGATAAAGAAAATAAATCCTTTCTGATTTATCTTGTGTCAGACTATTTTATTGTGTCTGTCTGTCAGAAAAGATTGGTTGCTACCCGCAGAGAGAGAGAAGTTGTCTCATAAGTCCATGAAAATAGAACGTGATAAAAGAAAAAAATGAAGCAATAAAAAAAGAAGAGCATGAGGAGGAGGCGGCACTGCTGGTCGCAAAAGAGAGTAAATAATTAATTCTACACAAAGTTCTAAACAAGCACAATGACAGAGCAACATGTTTGACAAGTGTCTGTTCTAACTCAGAGTGACTGCTCCTGCTCTTCTGAGGCGTACTGTTCCCTCAACAACTACGTTTCTCGTTGAGACGTTCCCAACAGTTACTCACTGACACAAATCCACCTTTATTTTAGGGTCCGATAGTAACACGAATATAAATTCTCAAGTATAGTATTATACTATGCATTTTACTTTCAAGTTAAAATAATTGAAACGATTGCTTATAAAAACTGAAATTAAAAAGACGAATGGAACACTGAGGTTCACAAAGATTCTTTCAGTAAATAAAAGGACAAGAATCAAAGCCTTTACACATTGAGAACGATACAAAAAGGCGAATATTTCATACATATTTATATACTCATCAAATGGGAGCAACAAAGTTTTGAGAAATGATGCGCAGCAAGAACGTACTAGTCGTCTAGCAAAGATTTTTGTCAAATCTCTTTAATATCAGATAAATATTTGGAACCTGTACAGATGAATCAGAACCTGTACGGACTCAGATGCACTGTAAGTGGGTTTAAACCTTTAGTAATTGTATATGTTCACATAATTGTCCATGAAAACATGGTTAATTGCGTAATAAACAGCTAATGTTTTGTTTTAACATACAGATAACGTTAGCCAAATACATAATAATGTTAGTAGTTGTCTGGCTAAAAGGTGTTTGGTTACACTTTCAGATTCTTAGTTCTGCTGGAATGGTTATGAGTTGCCATAGCTTAGCAACAAGCTGCATTGTGATTGGTCAGATGTGTTACAGTCACCTGAGATGGCTGGGAAACACAACCTAGAATTGAAAAAGATTTACTTCTTTTCGCACCAAAAATTATACCAGTGATGTAAAAGGGGTCACTAATAAGTACTGTTTTGAGAAAAACAATAAACAATAAAAAAAATTAAAGTGTTAAAATCTCAGCTTTGATTTCATGTATTCACTTTATAGCTCTAAATTTAAACTAGACAAAAAGTGCTATTTAAACATTTTAGGCAGGTGTGAAAAGCATGAATGCTGTCAGATAGACAAATAATAATTTTACGAAAGAAAAATGTAAATCAAATCAATATTTGGCCTCACTACCTTTTGCCCTCAAATCAGCATTAACTGTTATAGGTACACTTGCACAAGGTCAGGTATTTTGTAGGATTATAGTCAAGTGTTTGATCAACCAGTTTTAGCAAATTGGTGTTAATTATCATGAATACCACACACAGTTATGAACGGTAACAGAAACAGCTGTGTAGGAGGCCTCATGCCTTGGGTGAGGAACAGCCAAACTTCACCAAGGTGAGGTTGAGAAAGAGAGTTTCTTGTCACGACAAGCTTGAGCACAGCAACAAGACACATGATAGTTTTACTGCATCAACAAGGTCTGAGACAAAGATTTCAAAGCTGACTTGGGTTTCAAGATGAGTAGTTCAAGAAATGGACAACATTCAAGATCGATGATTCAGTGGCTTATTACCTCCAGGAAGTGGAATATTTCCAGTAGTGAAATGCATCCAGTGGAACTCAGGTACACCCAAAATCTAGCCAGAAGTTGCTGCCAGGAAGCCATACCTCTGGCTTGGGAGACCAAGCGACTCAAGATTGAATGAAAACATAGTAACTGGGGTGTAGTGAAGCATGTTGGAGGTTCCTTTGGTGGCTGCCTTTATACAAATGGAGTTGGTGATTTGGTTGGGATTAATATGTTTCCAATGCTGAGAAATCTGAGAAATACAAGAAACTACTTTTCCATCATGTAATATAATAAGTGAGGGGTATGATAGGCCACAAATTAATTCTGAAGCAGGACAATGACCCCAAACGTATATTTAAAGTCATTAAGAACTATTGGAAGTCATGAATGATCTCACCGTCTTCAAGGGTTTTCTTGAAGAAAGAGAAGATCTGTGGTGAGTTCTGCAAGATGTTTGGAACAACTTACCAGCAGAGTTCCTTTAAAAAGTGTGTGCAGCAAGTGAATATAGAAAATGGATGCTGTTTTGGAGGCAAGTAGCATATTGATGTGATTTATATTTCTCTTAAATCAATAACTACATTTCATTTATTAATGAAAATAAATGAAAACAATTCCATTTTTGAAAGAATTCTGCCTAAACGTTTTCCACAATATTGTAGGCATAACTACTTACTAATGGAAGACTTGATCTGGTATTACTGGACTAAATGTCCAATTAGGTCATTTTGGGGGGGTTCAATTTTTTTTTTTTAGTTTTTACAATTTCTTCGGGGTCTTCCCTGGGATTTAATTTGACTAGTTTGATATTTTCCAGTTTATGAATTTGTTTTCAATTTCAATGTTTTCATTCATTCATTCATTTTCCAACCCACTTATTCCCTTTCGTGGTCATGGGGTCATCTCCAGCATATGAGGCGAGAGGCAGGGGTACACCCTGGACAGGTCACCAGTCCATCGCAGGGCACCATGCACTCACATATTCACACCTAAGGGGGAATTTAGATTTTTCAATTAACCCTTTTTGGGATTGTGGGGGAAACGGAGTCTTCTTCTTTTCCTTTCGGCTTGTTCCCAGTTTGTGGGGGGAACGGAGTACCCGGAGGAAACCCACAAGCCTCAAGCCTCAAGTCACCGGTGAGCCTCAAACCGACAACCTTCTAACTGGAAGGCTTAGTTCATTGTTTTGTAGGGCATAAATATGACAAATAAAAAAAAAAAAAAACTTTTTATAGTCACTTTTTAGAATCATGTTAAAGTGTGCCATCACAGGATTGATCTGTCACATGCTCATTTCTTTCATTCGTAAACAAATCTGAACTAGCAAATCTCTATGATGGAATAACATGGAGGAAGCTATTTTTGGATGGACAAAATCAAAGAATGAAAAATAGAGGCGAAGTTGCATTAAATTTGGCCACTTTAACTTCAAAGCATTTTGATGCAAGTAAATCATTTGAGTGTAGTGAAGCATCAAGAAGAGTCTTGGAAAACAATACGTGTGTTGTGTTCCGAGTTTCACGCTCTTCAGCTGTGGAGTGGGCTGAGGGAACACGTTAATAAAACTGGATTTCATCAAACAGCATTTGTTCTTTCAGCATGAACAGAAATCTTTTCACTTTGTTTCACTATTTTCAGGATGTGCATGTTTGAGTCCAAGTGTAAAGAGCTGCGGGAGAGAGCTAGAATAAAAATAGTGTTTAATTGTGCACTTGGCATTAAAACAGGAAGATGATGGACTGCAAAAGGAAAAAAAAGAAGGATTAAAATGCCAAGGAGAGGTTAGAAACTAGCTTTACCTCTGTTTGGAATCCCTCCACTAAGATAGCCACCAAGAGGTTAAACAAGACATAATTCCCAAAGGTCATGAGGGCGATGAAGTAGAGAGCAGCCACAGGAGAGGTGGAAGCCATTCCATTGTAGAGCACTTTATTCCAATCCTCCTGGGTTAGAATCTGATGAAAACCAATCAGACAAGTGCATTCTGTTATAATTTCACAAACTATGCTTTCATAACAAATGACTCAGAACTCCAAATTCTCTTCTATAGTGTTAAAATACATAAGTGATGCAATTGGTTGAATACACATCGGGTTATTGTTGTAGCAGATAAGATCACTGAGCTTGAGTGCATATGCACCTCAATCTGTAGTTTGGTAAGTGGGTATCTGTTGGGGGGTGAGGTGGGATTGGTAGTTAAGCTATATTTTTTTTATGTTTATTGTTTATTATATTATATTATAAGTTATTAAACACCATTCAAGTGTTTTCACAAAATGCAATAACTCCATTAAACAAAGCTCAGCGCAAAAAAGATTGAGGTGCTAAGGGAAAAATGCAGACTGCCATCTTGAGCAAAAGTTTGAATCATTTTAAAACCATTTTATGTAGACAGAACAGAATCTGAACATTTTGCAGTTAATCACAATCAACTGAGCCACTGCTTTCTTGTGGCTCAGTTGGTAGAGCATTGTGCTAAAAACGCAAAGGTCGAGGGGTTCAAATCCCAGGGAATGCAAGAATTGTCAAATGTAAGTCACTTTGGAGAAAAGCGTCTGCTAAATGCATAAATGTAAATTCAACACCAGCAGGTGAAATAAAGAGATTGCGTGACGCAGACTAATTCGGCAGTGGAGCTCAGTGAATCCAGTGAGTCCAATATCTGCGTGTGGGCTCTGACAATCCATCCTTAAGCAATCCATTCTGGAATGAGCCACTGGATTCAAAATCAATATTGTTTGTTAAATAATAAAAGAAATTAAATGGTTTTCAGTTCTATAACAAAAAAGAAGGTAAAATGTGTTTAAAGAGCTACAGTTATTGCAATTTGGTGAAAAAAAAAATATTTATTTTAAATTGCTAATATGCTTCGAAAAAGAAAAAAAACTTTTAACTACACTCTGTTTAGATCACTTTAAAATGTGATTTATGTATTAAATGAACCATTATTAAAGCGATGTATGATGCAGAATGCTGGGATCTTGCCTGAAAAACTGTCACAATCGCCCACAGTAAAGAATCAAAGTTCTTTCTGTCAGGAAGCGTGTCTCCGTCCCTTTCAGATCCGAATTTACACCCAAACAAGTGCATGCCAAGAATACTGCAAAAACATTTGACAAAAACAATTTTAGATATCACAATATCAAATATTTAGTCCATTTTTTAATCTGCTCTCTCATCTTACCTGAAAATGAATATGAACAGCATCAGAAGCATGCAGAAGGTGGCAACATTGTCCATAGTCTTCATTAGGACCACCAGCTGCCTCTGCAGGGCGGGCATGAAGCGGACCAGCTTCAACACCCGCATGAGCCTGAAGGTCCTTAGCACAGATAAACCTCCACCCTGCTGGCCGACAATCTCCCAAACACTGCCAACACAAACAAACAACCATGAGCACTTCTGAACAAAGTTGACAGAAAATACATTTTTGTCACTTCTTGCAGCATTTTTTGTATTACACAGATGTGAGATTTGGATTGAAACTGGTTTTGGATTTAAATGCCACTGAGCTTTTGTGACTATAATTAATGAATTGGCTCGGGGCTATTTAGAAATAATGAAAAACATCCAGTGGAAACGTAATGTTAAAAAGGGGTTTCTGGATTTTACGGTTTAATTTGGAAACATGTTCTTTATAGAACACACCTCTTCATTTTCAGATGTGTATAGCAGTTGAGAGTAGCTATGTGCCATGCTGAACATTAATACCCATCATAACAAATCTTCTGCTTGTTCAGGATGCACAAGTATATGCTAATTTGTGTCATAAGTGAATGAATGGGAGTACGATGGAAATGCCCATCATAACAGCTGACAGACATCAGCCTCAACAGGCAACAGATGTCCCATCAGTCAGTAATGGCTGCAGTCGGGCTGCCTGTCACTGCTGTGAAATAACACACTGCCAGCGTACGTTTCCAGAAATGAAGATGAACACAACAAACAGTATCACGGAACGTTTTGATAATCAACCACACATACAATACCTGATAATGACAATAATGCCATCAAATATGTTGTAGGGGTTCTTGATATATCCAAAAGGTCCATAAACTAGCAGTTTCAGGAGCATTTCCAATACAAACAAACTGGTGAAGACAATATTGCTTATTTCCAGAGCGTTCGTCAACTCATCCGGCTGGAAAAGAAAGAAAGAGAGAGAGAGAGAGAGAGAGAGAGAGAGATGAAATCTGAAATAATCATCGAAATGCAACAGTCATGTCAACACCAAAGTTGATGATGGAGCATATTGTATTCTTTAGAACGGCGCAATTCACAGTACATGTGCCAGTATTCAGGAATACTGTGGTTAATTGCTTCACTGAATGCACGCTGTGTTATTACAGTGGCTGCTTCAAAAAAATAAGATAATAATTAAAGATCCAAATATAGAATGTGTATTAGATCATGGTGCAGATAAATAAGTCATAAACCCATAAGAAAACAGATTCCATGATTCAATTTGCATATGTTGAGCAATGCACATTGTATTATAAAGAAGAACGTCATGGAAAGTTATGAAACACATCCAAAATGTTTGCTAACCTTTAGGAAAAGTTAAAAGTTAAATGGTGAACAAATAATGAAGGATAAAGCACAGTTCAAATGAAAATGATGTTTGAAAATGTTTCTCTAGCTTCTGTTAGAAAATCTGAACCAATTTTATCATTTAAAAAAATATTTTAACCACTTATTTTTAAATACACAGTTAGCCATTTATTTTCTTCAAAAGAGTAATTCAAATTAAATCGATATTTGGTGCCTTCAAAACAACAATCCTAGCACAAAATTTATGACTTTGTGCCTATAAAAATTGATGCTGGTTTAAGGCAAAAGATACACCAAATTTTAACTAGATTAACTCATTTGAATAAAAACAATAAACGATCATTTATATATAAACATGAAATTATGATTAAACGTGATAAACATGAAAATTACTAAATTAACGTGGTTACAATGTTTTTGTATTTCTATGTGTTCACAGTCTGTTAAATGAATGCCGTTTTTTTTCTGCCTTTTTGCCCGTTTCATGGTTTTCCCATTTATTTACTTCCATCTGGGTCATGTGATTGACCATAACTCATTCTGTTTCCCCGCAACACAAGCCTTCTGTGTGACTGATGAGCTCATGAATAAAGTCTGGTCATTCGTTCATTTAGTTTAGTTTATTCCTCCTCCTTTGGAGAAGTCTCATTTCGCCGCTGGGTCTATTTTTTACGCTTGCTTTCAGCAGCAATGTATAAAATTTGAGCAAAATACAAAGTAAAAGCATTTACCAGTAGTTTTTAGAACAAATAGTACATTGATGATCTACCATGTTGTAAACACAGTATATTTTTACCTAATATTAGAAAACCAGTTTATTATTTTACCAATTATTTTATAAAGATGTTTATTTATGTAGTAATGATAACGTTTATTCATCATTACTATATGGCCTTCCTGTTGGAAGTTTGCCGCATGATGAAAACATGCGGTACCCCAGTCTCTCGCCTGATGTGCACCGGAAGACCCCAGTGACCCCAAAAAGGGAATAAGCAGGTTGGAAAATGAATGAATGAACAACGTAAGAATAGCTTTCCCGGTGACCTCATAACAACACTTGTAAACAAACAGGCCTGTCACAGGTGGTCGGGTCACAGCTCAACCACCAAGACTCCATCATGGACGAAACTCATCGCATTTTCGAAGTGGAGAAATGTCCACAGTGTGAAAGTTACATTGTGAAAATGCTGTTATTTTATTCAAGTTTTTCCAACGAGGGTCTTTTCCTTTTGTTTTTATATTACTTATTTTTGTGATCAATACACAGTGATCCATATGGCTTTCAAGCAAACAGTTAACTTGGAGGATAATGATGGTTTATTGCAGGTATGTTGTTTACATGAGAAAATCTGTGTTGTACATGTACAAAAATTTCAATAAACAATAAGATCTTGAATTTCTTCTCATTTTATTTAACAAGACCATTTCCTAATGCCTGCTGTACAGATTGTGTTTGAGAAAGCAGTGCAAGGATTAACAAACAAGAAGGTGAGGTGTCATTAAAGTATCTGGAGTAAGTGATTTAAATGCATATTAGACAGAGAGGGGGTTGTTTTTTATGCCGCAGAGTTGAACTGAAGAAGCGACATATGGGCCAGATCATATTTTGCTGCATTTTTTTTTTTTCGATTGTAAAACTGAGACTGGGCAAGAGACCCAGCACGCATAACACATTCTTGAAACATCACAGCAAGCTGGGTTTAATGAAAAGAGTTTAAAACGGCCGAAAGTGAAACACAACATCCCCAAGCACGCAACTCTAAAAACCAACTGGGATTTCAGGAGACATTTAGACAGGTCCCTGAACTTCACAGATTTAAATGATGACAGGAACTATGTAATTGTTTTACCAAGATGATTGTTTCCCCAAAGTAATCAGGTAAAAAAATGAATCACACACTGTGCATGAAATGAAAAATAACATCTGTATTAGCTAACCGAGTTAAATGTAGTCTAATCAGATTGCAAAGTGGTCCGTGGAGCAAAATGATGAAGTGTGAGGCTATTTGTGGCTGTCAATGTGTTTCACAGAGGTACGGAATAAAGCCAGGAGGTTTTTAAGTTGTTTCTGGAACTGTGAAGCCGAGGGTTGGGCATCGTCTGCCCAGCAGGAGTTTGTGCTCTTGGCCTCCTCATAGCGTGCAGCCTCTGAGTTCAAATCAGGACTGCTTGTGGGAACAATATATCACACAGAAAACTCTGCAGGGGTGTGTTTTTTTCCCCAGTTAGGCTAAAAAATAATGCTCCGCCACAAATGTTTAACAACATTATCATCTAATTGTACAGTAAGTCAGCTATGGGTTACTCCACTTCAAGAGTTCACATACTGAAACTATAGAGGCACGTCAACTGGGAGCTTACACAAGCTTGAACCCTCTTCAGATGAAATGCACTTAAAGGAAATCTCTCAGCAGTTACTTGCTATCAGAGGCTGCTCATTCTAGCACATCGCCAGCATCCATTTAACCCTCATCACAGCTCCCTCAAGCTGGGAATTGACTTGTTTTATTCCGGTTAGGGTCGGTTTGTATCAGAGGAATACTCTAATTAAACTTAAATATCAACACACACACACGCACACACACACGCACACATGCACACACAAGAGAGGCTGACACTGAGATACCCTTTGTTTCAGAAAATGCTTAAAAAAACTTGTGTTGGAGGTTTTATAGTGCTAAAGGAAAATGAAAACAAAACCTTGGCAAAGTTCATGGCTGTGATGGCGATTTCCCAAGTATGAGATATGCGTTTCCTCATTAGCAACGATGACGAGCACATGCTTTACATCCAGCTAAAAAGAAACTGTTCGAAACCATTGTAATGTTGAGCAATGGAGATGATTTCACTGAAGCATGTAAGAGCTGGTATTGCTTTATTTCCTTATGTAACCACATTGCGTCCCACATAGCACGTGGACAACAAACACTCATCAAGTTTATGATGAATGAATGTGGCTGAAAT